TGTATGTATGTATGTATGTATGTATGTATGTATGTATGTATGTATGTGTACATTGTACATCTGTACAACTATACTTGTGTGTACATTGTACTATGTGCGTGAAGATCAAGATGTGCCTCGCGTGGATAACTGAACTATTGGTATAGGTATATGCATGTATGCCAGGCACGGACAAATAGGTCACGAATGCCTGCCCCTTCATGGGAAGAACACTTGGCTTCCCAACTGGGCATGTTACAAGTCCACCAGACAGAAAGGCCTCTGAGCAAACTTCCGGGGTCAATCCACTGAAAACAAAGAAAGACCTGTCAGCAACCCGCAACCCATACCGACATATACCGACGGTCCCTCCTGCGATGGCCCGCGCGGTGGACCCGGTGGAGATGCGGCGCGCCAAGGCGAAGCGCGCGCGCGCGCGCCCAAACCTCATCATCTGAATTGTTGGATTCAGACCTTGGGGATTGCGGCAAACTGATATGAGACCGATCCAGACCTGAAGTCGGTGCCGAAATCGGTCCCAATGAAGCGACCAGCCCCACTTTGAAGCGATCAGGAAGTAGCTCTGAAACTGCTCGGTGAGTCTGTGAGTCTGTGATTTTTGGAGGAGGGCAACTGTTTCATAGACTCTTCAAGCGCCTTGGTGCCTACCATGAGCTTGCAAGTGCCCCAGTCATCTCTGCATTGAAAGTGGCCAGCCAGCTACCAGCCACCATGAAATTATTTCATTGACTGCGTACTGTAGCTGGGTCTGCAATGCTGTCATATGTGCCCGCTTTGTGTGCATGCATATATACACACAATACAACCATATACAATCATATACAAATGAATGTTCGACATCATAAACTATCAGACAACTTGCAAAGATCACATTACCAAGGGACCCTGACAAGTGTTCTTGCTATGTCATTCAAGGACCCGTTGCTGAGCCTCGACATCGCATAACCACGAGCGAAATTCCGCCCCCATCTCAGCACTGAACTCTTCAGGCGCTGACTTTGGAGGACTGGGGCAGTGGCCCGGCCGCGGCTCGGATGACAACGGATGCTCAACTCGGAAACCCTGCAGTCGAGAAGAATGCTCTCTAAATGTAGAGATCTTGATTGAAGGAACCCCCCACCCTTTTGGATTGTAAGACCTCCTTCACTGGAGGATACCCCCTCGAATTCTTGGCGTATGTAGGGGTGGTTGATTTTTTAAGGAAAATGTGCCACAGAATCAACCACCCCGGGTTCGCCAATCTGAAAAGCTTTACAAAATCAAACCCCCCAGGACACAGGCAAGGGACAACTCTCCAGCCGATATTACAAAATCAACTGCCCCAGTCTCAAGATACAGTCTTTACAAAATCATAGGCACTCTGTTGACATGGCTCGGTACAATTACAAAATCAACCCCCTGAGGCCTCAAACAAGATACAAAATCTCAATCATTAAACCTGGATACCAGAAAACAAACGATTTTGTAATGATTCGGCGCGACCTCATCGAGACGATACGATACTATACGATCAGACAGTAGCACGGACCAATGCGCCAAACAGTTGATTACAAAATCAAACATCCCAATGTCTATCACTAGGAAACAGTTTTACAAAATCAGAGGCACCAAGAGAGCATCCAGAGGCACTCATACAGAATCAAGAATCTCAGTCTCGGTTTACTTATCGCTACAGGTTCACAGGTTCACAGGTCCCTTGGTTGATGTTCACAGGTCCCTTGGTTGATGTTCACAGGTCCCTTGGTTGATGTTGACTTTTCGCTGAAACCTTGTGCCCATGCAGTGAGTCGACTCACGCGACGTGGGTTGACTTAAGTACGGCGCTTGTAGATAGCCACCTAGATAGAAGGCTTTCAAAGCCCTCTCTCCCGGCTCACTTGTGACAGGTGGGGAAATTTCTGCGACAACGAAGGTGAAGCATGAGCCTCTAGTAGAAGGCATTGGAGTGTGGGGGTTCCAGGGTTGCGTTGGGAGTTGTTGAAGATTTTTTAAAAGGATTTTGAGGTTTCACATCTTCCTTGGTACTTTTACCTTCATGATCCTTCATGTGTCCACCTGGAAACCATTACCCCCAGAAGCCCTGACTAGACATCTATAGACATTTAATTGTGGCAGATGCGGGAACGCCAGCATCCAAGAAGGCGCAGAAGGCGAAGAGTCTTCAAGCAGAAGGCAAGTGAAGCGTGGGTTTCAATGGGTCTGTTGGGAGACTTTTTGACAGAGTTTATCAGACTGGTTCGATACAGTAGAAAACCTGTTTAACCTAGAAACAAGTGCCTTCAGAAGCCCTCACTAGATGTTTAATTGCGGCAGGTGTGGATACTCCTCCACCAAAGAAGGCAAAGAAGAAAGAGGACCTTCCAGCAGAAGGCGTTGAAGTGTGGGATAGACTGGGTAAAGCTGGGTGTGTTTGCTCAAAGAGAACACTTTCATTAAACATCAACTCAGCAGCGATACTCAACGAGGCTCTTGGGATGCCTGGTGTGCGTGTGTGTGTGTGTTCTAATATATCCTATCTATGATATATCATGAAAAATTATGCGAATTATTGAGAATTTATGAGACCATGTTCTACAGCAGCTCAACCCACTACAAAATCAACTGTCCATGCTTTACAGCAGGTCAATCGATTACAGAATCGACTGTCCATGACAACCACCCCACCCTCAAACTTGTATAGAATCAAGGACCCCACCCTCACCAGTGCGGCACTTTTGACATCCATACCAACATATCGATTCCTTACAAAATCAACAGACCCAAGAAAGAATGTTGCCCTTACAAATTCAACCTCCCCACCCCCACAAAAACGGGTACCTGGAAACAAACTTGTTTCTTTACAATATCGAAGCTCTTTTGTTACCCAGGGAGGTTGATTTTTTAAAGGAAATTTCAACGGGTATACTGGAGGTGTTGTGGTGTCTTTTATGAGTCTATGTGATGTCTTCGGAGGGTAGATGCTGGCACCAAAAACAGGTGTGGAAGAGGAGGAGCCCACCCTCTACCCAATGAATGCGAGGAGTGAGCCCAGATGTGAGGACCTTCCCAGTGACCGTCCTTGAGATCCCAGAATGGGGTCACTTAGGTCTTGAAAAGGTCACTGACCAATCCTGAAGAGGTCACTGAGAAGGTCCTGGTATAATAGTTGTGCTTGATGGTTCGGAAAAGCATCGCGAATATACTGGATATATGGATACATGGGATAGTGTGAATAACTGTCAGCATCACTATTCGGATGAACACTTGGATCGGGGTTCTAATGGGCTGGAGGCTTTGTATAGTTCGTGAAGGCATGTGAACGCCACCCTTTGCGTTGCACTCTGAGGAGGGGACATGGAAGTGACCGCTGTCTTCTGGGAAATCTTCTTGGCGAGTTGATTGTACAGAGGGTAATCATGAAACCCGGTCAACACCGACATGGGGGCTGGTTGGCCTTAACTCAAGATAGTCAAGAAACCTTGTGGAGATGAATGATGCTCACCTCTGCTTCTGAAAATTTAGATTACCCAATCACCTCTGTTTCATCAGTTCGAAGACCCAAAACGATGCACCTGGGCTTGGAGGAAGTGGCTCCGCCCGAGGGCGAGCAGGCCTGCACGGGCAAGCAAGAACTCTTCAGCCTCTTCAGTGCACTTGGCAAACTGATTTCCGCATGTTCACTGAGACCCGTTATACCTCAACTGTAAGTTTATCTGGATCCGCGGCATGATGGTCAACATCAATCATCGTGCGCGAAGTCAGGCATCTCGTGGCATCTCGACCCGTCGACGACCACAGCAGGAACGGCTGCTTAACGACGATCCAAGTGCGCTTGACATAGGGAGCCCTCATGAGCCCTCACCAAGATATCCTCTTTGGGTGTGCCGATCCGCCGCAAAATGTCCGGACCGTCTCTTGAGATTCGACCGAGTCGAAAACAGATCAGGTACCCTCCAACAGTTCTTCGAAACCAAGTTCTTCGAAACCTGTGGGCACAGCCAGTTGCTTCCCTCAAAATCTCGGTGCTCACACATCACAGCAAGGCAGAAGGGAGATCGACTCAGATCGACCGTCTCCCCGTCCTCTGGGCCGCGTCCCTGCGCATCGGCATTCGGCTCGGGGACGGATGTCTCGTCATGAAAACTCGGGTGGCACGGAAACCATGGCTCCGGTGGTAGCTGCTAGCTCATCGACCTTGAGGAGGAGCCGGAGAAGCTGGAGTATGAACCTACAGAACCTCCTGACGACCAGGTCATGAGATGCCCCCGACTACGACTGCGACTGGTGACTCACACCACGGAACTGGTGACTCACACCGAGGGCCCCTGGCTTGAGAGCAGCAAAGGCCCATCAGCCCTGCCAGGACGGGCTGCGGTGATGTAAAACGCGGAGCAGCCAACAGGGCTGCTAAGACAACCAAGAGAGGTGGATCAGAGAAGGAAACAAGGAAACTGCCAGAAACGCAAGCAGCGGCTTCTTGCAAGTAGCAACTGTCCCCTAAAGGAAGTTCATAGGAGCAAATGCCCAAGCCGAAGTCATGAAGATTCAGAAATCACATTTGATGAGGTCTTTTCAAGCAGGTGTTGTTCAATCCCGGGTTTGTCTCCAAAACCTCCGGATTCCAACAGCTCAGCATGCTGAGCATGGCTGAGCACCGACCGAAAGTCTACCCCAATGTGCAATATCTTTCTACCCCAATGTGCACTCCCAGAAAGCAGTCTCAAAGAGTTCGACCACAATGTATGACTTGTTGACTTCACCACACCCGAGAGCCTGCTGATGTAAATATATAATCCTTCTGGTTGGGGGGCATTTATTCGTCACTAAATGATATATCGTTGTATACCAAGAGAGGTTAAGCGACCTGAACTAGCACCCAACTGAGGTACCGAACTGGGATAGTCTATAGGGTTCTTCAACCTCTGTTGGTCAAACATCTTCCCCCATCGTCCGAACTCCCCTGGCCTCCAACGAGCCATCGCTGGGGCGTCGGTGCAGCTTTGAGTCCAAACAGTTTCGGAACGCCAAAAAGTCGCTTCGCGTTGGGTGTCCAGCGCCAATGCACGGGGGGACGTGACGGACGTCAAGGGTTTGATAGGAGTGCCTGGGTGTCGGACGTCAAAGTTTTGCAAGCACAGGAGATGAAAGGAGAAAATACGTCTGAGGGCTTACAGGCTTACCCCGGCCCCACCCATTCATTCCCAACAATGACCCAAAAAAGACCTAAGGTCTCCGTGTTTTTTAGGAGCTCTTGACTGGCTACTGATGTGAACTGGTTCTTTTTCACGCCGCCTCACGCAGGCGCCGATCGGCTGACGCCGCGTTGCCGGCCGAGCTGCGAGCTGCGAGACGTGACACTCTGACTCACTAACATGGAAGTGGAAGGGGGTTTTCCATTTCCATGTTGGTGAGTCAAAGTGTCGGCGCTAATTATACATGTTGGATGAGCCGATTTCCCAAAAGGGGGGAAAACAGGGTTAGACTAGGAATGCCCTGCTTGATCCGGAAGCACCGGTATGCACAGGCCGCGCTTCTTACTTTGAGTTCAAGAAAGGTATATAGCTCGACACCACACGTGCAATTGATGTGCAAGATCCGGGACCAAACCGAAAATGTGTCGATTGAGGATCAATAAACTTACAGCACCTTGAAAAACACTCCACGATCCACAGGAATGAATCAAGTACCTTCCACAAGTTTCCAGATGCGGGTTGGATCATGGGTATCGGTATCTACTCCAGAATGAGATTCAAGGTTCATCCATACACACACAAAAGCATGTATATATAATTAATACGTTCATATATCTATCAAATCACCGAGTCACCTTTCACCCGTCCTTCGGTCACGGTCACGGACCAAGTCCACAGCCCGGTCCGGTCGCGGATTCAGCCGCAGCTCAGACCCATTCACCAGCTTCACCTGCACGGTGCGACCGGGTCATGCGACCGGCCGTCGAAGCGGCCAACGTCGAGGTGGAGATAGAACTGCGACTGTCCAAGGGGAAAGACCTGATGAACGGTCAGTTTAGAGCCCCAAAAAATTCGTCACAATGGCTGGTGCCACTGTCCACACCTGTTGCCAATTCTCTAGTTCATGGTCTTGGATGTGGCTTACGTGATGTAGTGATGCGTAGCGTCGTTTTGCGTTTGTTCGTTGTTTTGCGTTTCTCTCTCGCTTGCTCATTGCTCGTGTGGGTTTGCGCAAAAATGATGGCCTGACAATCTAGCCCGCGCTGCGCGTCATCAGCGCGAAAGTCGGATCTGCTGCCTTCCTCCTCTGGGTCATCGCCGTTGCCCTGTGTGGACTCGGCAAATGCGCCGGCCGCCCATTGTGGACGCCCGGCTTCAGCACTCAGGCTGGGGATGTAGGTGGAAGACTCTTGCCAAAAGTGGTCCGCCTGGTAGACTGGTACAGTATGAAGTACGTTGACATCCCCAAATCATCAGGGCTGTTTTGGGCGTCTGTTTTGGGCGTCGGTTTTCTCCCCTCCGGGACCCTCTACCGGGACCTTCTACCGCGACCAGTTTTTCACGCCAAGTGGAGAAAGCCAGAAATTTGAATCATGCATTGATATATAATATTAAATAGCACAAATAGGCGGATATATGGATGTGGGTAGATCGGCCACATCTGTGCAGTGGGAATGGTCCCATGCCTAAGAACACGGGTCTTCTCTCCCTCCCTCCCGCTTTCACACCCACCAAGGCCACGGACAAGCTGGGAAATGGATCAAGGCTCAAGGCACGGCAAAAATCAAGAAATTCAAGTGTTCAACCGAAACCCCCGACCCCTGGCGACGGCTCAGAAAAACCACCGACGCTTGTTCCATGCCTCGCCTTTTCGTGCGCCAACCTCGGATCAATGAGCGGTTGGCAGCCTGCCGGCCCAAATCTCTGGGTCTATCACATTGACAGGAACAGTGGACGATGATGGTTAGTAAAGGCCTTGTTCAAAAATAGTGGAGTGGCATGGCTGAGCATTCTTTGTCCCAAACCTCGAATTGAAGCTGAAACAGCTGAGGCCGCGTCTCTGCGTCGTCTTTGCGCGCTGACACCTGGGCCTAGCGATGAAACATCTCATAACAAGGTTGCACGGTGCAAAACTCTCTGCAGCTCTGGTGGTTGATGGGTTACATTGCGGACTGTCAACAGGAGCAGCAAAAAGACCTGTTGTCCATACCAAACCAAGGAATCCCCCTAGCAACCTCGACAGGAGAGCCGCTTCAAAAGCCCGGCTCACTTTGCGGAACGGAACGTTCAACGTTCAGCGTCAACGGTTGGCGGGGCAAAAAGCACCTGGTGTTCGTATGTTGTTGGTCTGTCTTCTGCTCTCAGGATTGCAGGACAAACACAGAGGACAAACAAACAAGCAAGCAAACAACAAACCCAACCCGACCCCAATCCAACCAACCAACGAGGCTGCTGTTTTTCTGGTAATTTCTTGTTTTTTGGTTCCTTTTTCCTGGTAGCGCTTTCATATGGTGATACAGGGATACCCGGTGGTTTGGCTTTAGTGAGGACTTCGGTTTTAGCCTCTCGGCTGGCAACTCACAGCAGAACGGAGCAAGATTCGGCCACTGTGAGCAGCACAGTTTCCTCGCTGGCAACTCACAGCAGCACGGGGCATGCAGCCCTGGCCACTGTGAGCAGCACAGCACTGTGAGCAGCATAGCCCCTAAGCCAGCCACCAGACAAAGCAATAGAAGATCATAGAAGCGAAAAGCCACAGCACCCAAAAGCAACAAAAACCAAAAACTAGAAGCTAAAAGCTACAGAAGCCAAAAGTATCCAAACCTAATCGCTACAAATGCCAAAAGCCACAAAAGCCCAAAAAGCCACGGACGCCAAAAGCCGCCGAAACCAACAGCTACAGAAGCCAAAAGCTACAGAGGCAAGTCTCCGAAGCCAAAAGCTCTTGAAACCACACGCCACAAAAGCCGCACGCCACAGGAGCCCTCGTCCTTCCTTCCTTCCCTTTTCTTTTCTTCCCTTTCCTTTCCTTTGGTCATGGAGAAACAAATCCCACCAATAACGGAACAAATTTCCTTTTGAAAATACGAGTTCCAACCAACTTTCATTGGTCCACGCTGGCCGCTTCCGCGCCGCGGATGCGGATGCAGCGGCGCGTAGTGCGTTCAACGGAAGCGATTGTGCGCAACTCACACGAGGCCTTGCTGAAAAAAAAACAAACCAAACCAAACGAAAAACAAACGAATGAAAGTGCGTGCGGCGGCAATTGGAGGTGAAAGAAATTTGCCACAGAAACACTGGAATGACGCGGCTTTCCCACACTAATTAGGCCGCTCCTGTCGCTGCAGCTGCCCATGACCCAAGTCAAGAAGGAACCTGAAGCGCTGTTAGTCGTGCAAGTCACTTCACTTAAATCTGACATGAAATATACGGTATATACATATTTTATACATTATATACAGAAGGGTTGAGCTCTTCCTTCGGACTTTCCACTGATGCTGTGCAAAGTTGAATTGATAAGTGATCATCTCCAGCATATTGTGCTTGACGGAGCACTTGCAGAAGGAAACAGCTAGAAGCAAGAATCGAAGCTTCCTACATCCTTACCAAGCCTTACCTTGGTCCTTCCCTTGGGCTTGGCATTCCCTAGATACCAAGGAAAAAGACCCGCCAGGGGAAACCCTCCCAATGCTATAGCCTCCAGCCGCTTACCAAACAACCACACCCCAAAAAGAAGCTATATATATAGACTGAGACTAGATGTGTGTGTGTGTGTGTGCGCTTGCGGATGCATATGATATAGAAATTCAGCGACCACTGGGGTCCCTTCATGAAACTTGGGGATGCGAAAACCAAGGGATTGGATAAGGCAGTCGAGCCTAAGTATTGTTCGGGCTCTTGACATCGCAAACCAGTACCTGGACACTCCTTTGGTACACAAAAATGTGTACACTTGGATTATTTACAAACGTGCTTAAAGTTATACGTCGTACATTTATCTGGGAAACAAGCACATTTTGCCTTGGCATGGCCAAACGAGCACTTTTTCTGGAATCAAGGCTTTTGTTGATGACACCTCAGTTTCCATATATTGGGGTATTTGTTCTGTAGCTGTGGAGGCTTGAAGACCACTTGGTTCCATGCACGTGGCCTTTCTCACGTCTCCGGGGGAAGGTCTCCGCGCGATGAATGCCGCGTTCGGTGGTTGACTTGGCGCTCCCACTCGGTGTCCAAGTCTTCATCCAGATCGCGAAGGTCCTGTCGATGCGCGAAGAGTACGAGTACCGAGCCCACTAGGAAGGACCTCCCAGAATCCCTCGGACCTCCTTCCTTCGGTTCAGGAGTAGGTCTCACTTGGCACGGCCCAACAGGGACCCAAATCAAAGGAGATCCGCCAACGACGTTTCCAACGTGTTGGGCCCATCGGTGGAGTGACCAGGGCGGCACGGCCCGGGCCCTTGTATGGCTGTGGGCTGTGGCACAAGAGGGGCCAAACACTAGACCAAACTGCCAAAAATTACAAAAAATGCAAAGAAATTTAGTGAGTGTGCCTTTGTGATCCTTTGTGGGGATCCCAATCTACAAGCGGCTAAGTTTTTGCCCCACGCCCCTATCCCCTACAGTATCTATTTAATGTTCATCAAATTTTGCCATTTGACATCGTCCAAGCTACTTTACAAGTGAGCAGCAGTACATTCCACTTCCCCCAGCATGGGCGCTGTGGTCTTTCAGCGGAGCCAACCAAGACTCGAAAGCAGCGAGGCGGCCAAATACAAATGGGCTTTTCCCGTGCTGGACTGGGAATCGGCTGGACCAACTGCACTAGGAGGCTCCCTTTGCCATGTTAGGGTCCGAATGGAGATGTATGTATTTCTAGGATATCAGAAACGATTTTGCACGGAGAGCAGGGGTAAAGCACCGGGTTTCCACATGTTTCCACGTTTCTTGAGAACAGTCTTAGTTGCCCATCCATCCTCAACAAAAATCAGGTCGTCGTTCTTTCCGCACACGTGAAACGACCAGCGCTAATGATATGACTATGCAACCAATGAGGGTAAGAGGACCCCACACTCCCACAAGGGGTGGGTCAGAAAATGTCTTGGAGCCATAGGCCTCGCCCGCCTTGCTTCATTTCCTCTGCGATGCGGCCAGCAGCTCGTGTTGATGTAGGTATTCCTTTAAGCGCTGAAGTTGCAGATCGACCCGCTGCATCTGAAGCATCGTGGTGGTCAACATGTTTTGCGCATAAAGGAGGTTCGCCGGATAAGTCAAGACCTCAAGATCCTCCGTTTGGAGCGCGGCATCGACCCTGGCAGGACACGCAGCCGGGAGGCCCGACTCGGCTGGCCCTGCTGGTGGGAGCGCGTCTTCCCCGGCGGGGTCCATCCTGGGGACAGCTTGAGCCACAACATGCCAAAACGGTCCGAGGAAGACGTGATGCGTGGCCACAAAGACAAAGACCGGTGTTCCACTTCTTCTCAGGGACCTGTCATAGACTATGACACCATTGGTCGATGGTCTACCTCTTAGACCCCCAAGTCTAGTCGCTGCTTGGATCGGGTTTCCACGTTCTCCTCGGGACTGAACTCCACGTCATCCACGTTCACCTCACCGGACGCGACTCGAGAAGCTCGGCGAGCCCGACGCTCCGCCTCCCGCACGCACGCACGCACGCACGCGGTCCGCGGCCGGCGCCGGTCCCGCGCCGGTCGTGACCGGTGCCCCGAGCAGGCGCGCCATGGGGAAGGACGGCGTGTCCAGTTTCGGGAAGCCACCTGAGACCGACGTCGCCGGGGCGGCGGAACACCCCTGCGGTCTGAAAGGTCTCTGATCCCTTTTTTTTCGGTTTGTTTGTGAACCCCCCGAGCGACGGTGTGTTCTCATCTATGAACAGATATACGAATCCCGAATGATGATTGTAGAAATCATTGGTAAGGGACAGCCACCGGGCCAGTGCTACAAGTGCCCAATCTGCAACATCAGCAGGACAACGACTTGTCCCAGATCCTTTCCATCCAAGCTTTGAGAGTCCGCTGTGCCCTTCTGTGCCCCTGGACCCAAGGGTTCTTGCTCCAGCTGCGCGAACTCTTCGAGGTCCGGAAGCACCACCTCACCGGCCACCGTGCAGTTCGGTGAAACGAAGTGATGTGAAGCAAGTTGTGCCCCTGAAACGCCAGAACATCTACAGGACACCCGTGGTTTTTAAGGTGAAAACAACGGTGTCCTGGTTTAAACTCTTGAGCCAATCCAATGGTTAGTAAAGGCCCCCCCGCATTTTAACGCCGAAGTCTTTTCAGGGCTTCGAAAGGCCCTCCAAGTCCACTGCGTCTTGTAGATTTGGTACTTCTGCTCTGCCGCAGGGCCGTCCCTTCAGGAGTTGGGAAGCTGCACAACCCCGCCCCCACACAGCTTCGGCCACGAAGTTCCATACCCACCCTTTCTGTAGAAAAAAAGGCTGGCAACCTCATTCCTGCCCACTGAAATCAGAGCCAACTTCCTGGAGCGAATTCGAAGTCGTTCAAGGAAAGAGCTCAAAAGAGATGAAGAAGAATCATAGAGCTCTTTCAAAAGAATCCAGAGCTATATTGACACCGCCTGCACGCGGGTCTTGCTGAGCATCCTCCACCCCCAAAAAAGACACACGCGCCTCTGTCCAACATGCTAAGGAGTCAAGGCGCTCCTGCACCTGTCAGGTCCCCCGGTCTCCCTGGTCATGTAGAGAAATGACCAATCAAAAACCATCAAAAGCCCAGTCCAAGCTGAGGGTACTGCACTTGAATCATCATTGAACAAGCTAGTAGCGACTGTCGAAAGTGCTGTGACCCAGACATGTCGGGTGGCACACCCAGAGCACTCATTGAGCACAACTGGCACATCTGGTGGCACCTCTGACCATGTGCTCCCGGCATCACGCAACTCCCCCTGGCGGGGCATAGCTCAGACATTTCCAGCACACAAGGATAGTGCAAATCCCTGAACACATGAGCAAACCGAAGGTGAACTGGGGGGTGATGTGTGTTTGAGCATTCCTTTTCAAGCTCTTTCCATTGCTCTGGGGCTCTTCTTTTAAGTTCCTCCCTCTGTTGCTTCCGTGAGCTCCGTGCCAAGATCTTCCGCAGCAGCCCAGTGAGCTCGGGCGCATACCAGTCACCTGGGCCACGAGTCACGCGACCACCCTCGCGGTGGATCTTCTTCCTCCATTTTCGTGGGGGAGAGTCTTCTTGATTCAGCGGTGCTCCCCTTGGAAGGGAAGTTGACCAATGCAACAGCGGTGAGGTCTTCCAAAAAGCTTGGACCACTTGGCCTCGAGGCTGGAATGCTACCAAGTAGTTCCTGCTCCTTTTTTCCAGGATGAGATCAAAATATCAGCAATTCCTTTGAACCTGAAAACCCCACACGGTCCCCAAACCCAGGAAAGGGTGCCGCAAAGCATGAAAGTGTTGTCAAGATCTGGGTTTGCATTCTAATCGGGAAACCCCCCCAATGGATTGTGGTCTATTCCCTTCTTCTTCCATGGAGTCTTTTGGAGGTCTATTTCAATCTGAATACACACCCGGCATCATCGATGTGCTGCATTTTCCAGCAGGTCTGCAGCAGTTCTCTGGGCACCCACTGAGTGCCCTACGGTGCGTCTCTTGCGCCACCGCCTGGAGACCCCGAATCACCTCTGTTTGGTGCTTTTGCTGCTAAATGAACTGTGAGTTGGACATGCGGTGTTTGCATGAGCCGGGCCAGCTCGGTTTACGGTTTGCATGAGCGGCCCTGTCGAAATGCGGGAGCGTCTTTCGCTTTATGATGCATAGAACCTGACCCGTCCACTTCGAAGGAATTGTATATATTGACCATGTGCCCAGCATGCTTGAGCATAGAATCCAAGCATGATAGGCTACAACCTATATTCGCGAGAGGCAGCCATTCTCAAATCAATTTGATATAAAGAATAATTCCGCGGTAAAATGTGTGTAACATGGTGTAACTGTAACTAATTAAATACGGTATGTTGAACTATCATTCCAAACAATTGTACTGCATAGCTCTTCATAGAGGGCCGCAGTCAGATCTCAAAGAACCCTCCTTAGAAAGCAGATCTATCCAAACGCCGCCCGGATCGGCGGTCCGAGACGCTCTATATATATATACACACACTCTGACTCACTAGCAGTGGAAAATGGCCTCTTGGAAGACTACTTTCCTCTACAAACAGTGGGTTTTCTACTTCCATGTTAGTGAGTCGGAGTGTACCAGCACCCTCCAAGTCCGGTGGTTTTTGGACACCTCGACTCACCTCTAAGAGGCTGTTGATGGACACCTCAAACGGAGGGTCCTGGGTGACCTGGCTTAGGTGTCGGGATTCTCGAACGCACCGATTCTCCGACCGTGCTTGCTGCAGGCGTCCAATGGCTGGACTGATCCCTGATGGCCCAGGCATCGCAGGAACAAATGGCACATGTCTCAGCTGTTGGGTTGGTCCATCTACTCGTAAGTCACCAGTGCCTATAAGAATTCAAGCCGAATCTGTTCGAATTGCATCTGACCCCGGCGCCTTCAAGGCCTTTGCCACGCGGCCCATCACGGCGCCTGCGGCCCACCGCGCTCGGGTGAGGTCGTGGCCCGGGGGTTGACGGTTTAGGGTTCCGGTGCTGGAACTGGGGGTGAACCGGATGGGAACGGTTCGAACTGCGAGATTCTTTGGAGTTAGGTTCAGTCTGAGTTAGGTTCAGTTCGAGAAAAGTGGTGAACTGGGGAACTCTTGGAAAAGTTCGCACCCTTCGCCTCTGGAAATTCAACATGGAACCTGAAAACCATTTGTTCAGGTTCCATGTTCTTTTTCCCGGGTGTATACAAACCACATGGATAGTGACACACCAGGATGGTTTCTTCTCCAACCGGAGTGCGCTGCAAGGTCCGCCAGGGACCTTGGAGCGTCCTCAAATCAATGGGTCCCCAATCTGCACAGCGGACATGGTCGACTGTCCTGCCCTCACCCCGACTGAGTGTGGGGCCATCTTCTAAGAAGAGGCAGAGGGCCTGGCAGCTTGCAACGTTCCCTGGCCCTAACTCCAAACAAACATGGCTTGCAGCAAAATAGAAAGGCGCAAACAGGCCCCCAACGCGGTGGCCGTTCGGCGCCCAAATCCAAGCGTTCAAGCGGCAGAAGAGGTGTGGACCCCTCTCCCGCCCCAGCTATCCTGCCTTCACTGAAGAACTTTGAGGACTCCGAATGAGTTCCAAACATAGGGCACCCACCTCAGCCGTTTTCGGGTCCGATCCCGCACCGCGGTCCGATCCCGCCCCGGTGACGGGGTGCCGCACGGTGTTGAGCATCACGGCGCCCCAGGGCCGCACAAAGAGGTGCACCACACAGCGTTTCAAGAGCTCTTGCTCCAAGAAAACCTCACCGTGCGGACGTCGGATCAAACTTGGAGAAATCTTGGAGAAGCATTCGGCCGCTAAGAAAGAAAGAAAGAAAGAGATGGATATATACATAAGCAAAACGCTGTGCAGCGCGGCTCATGCCGCCACTAGTTGTTGGCTCTCTCACCATGCTTGCCGCTTGCCCACACAAATCCCCTCCCGTCACAGCCGCCTGCAAAACATCCGAATCCTGCACTCGAGCCAGCTCCACTAGGGCCAGGGTGGCCTCACGCTTTGCTGGTCCCCTTCTGGCGGCCGTGGGTGTAGGTGACCAGGAGGATACATATCATGCGGTGATAGTGATACAGTAAAATGACATACCCCTTGTTTCGCACACTGGTGCTTGCCCCACTTGGACCCGATCACACCTCCAACAAACTGGTGCCGTCCCAGGGATAAAACCACCGACCACCACCCCAAAGGGCCTCAACTGCCAAGGCTCCTGAAAATGGCACTTGCCGTGGCCTGAAAGAAAGCGCAACAAACAACCAACAAGGGTCGGGTGTCATGGTGGGCAACAAAGCCTCTTTCTTGGAGAGAGCCGAGACGAGCACCCCACAGGAATTCCTCCTTTCATGCGCCGTCTTTCCCCAAGGTTTGGGGCGCTCGCTGCAGGGCATCCGGAGCTTTCAATCATCCTCGGATCTCTCAGGCACCCACTGCGGCATCTTGTTGCGCAAACGCTCCTCATCCAGCTTGGCCTCCGCAGATGAGTTCCGTCCCAATCATCCACGTGTTCTGAAACAGTTCAGCTTGGAAGGCAGTGGAGTGAATCGCGGTGTTCACTCGAATATATCCACAAGTAGACAGTGTTTTCGCAGCATCTGTATGACAAATGTGCCCTTCATGTCATGCAAAATGATCTGAGTATGCATCTGTATCCTATGTAGAGGTATGTATAGGTATATACTGTAGCTTTTATTTGTTCCAGGCGCGGATACAAATGTCGGAAGGTTCAAGAATCCACGCTTGATCACTGGGACAGCGACGGCAGGGCTCCCAACTCCAACTCCCTAGCTCAACATCACAGACTGCCAAGGACTCACGGGTTCTCTGCTGGATTCCCCAATAACATCTCATCTCCTCCAAGAACCCACTTCCAAGTCACCTAGTCACCCCGTCTCCAACACATCCACCGGCCCTCTTTTGTTCCTCACAATTTGCTCACATCCCTGTGCAAGCGCCCCGTCCGCGCCAGGTCCCACTCATCCGGTGGCGGAGGCTCGACCCATCCCTCCCGCGCGCTGAGCCCCGTCTGCGCCAGCAGCGCGCCCAAATCCGCTGTGGCCGGGGACGGCAGGGCCAGGGCCACATCCTCCGCCTGAAGGCTAGGGGCGCAGGCCGGGCGCAGGCCTTTTCGAGAACACCCCATGCAAAAATCGGCAGAAACACAAAGCAAGACCTGGCGCAAGCTTGGTGCGATTGGACGGTCAGTACAGGACCCCGGCAGTACATGCATGTTCAGGTCAAAAAAAAAGGTCCACAATCACGACAACCCACCTAAATATTCACACTAAGTCTCTTGATATCATGGAAGTATACTTATGTTCCTTTGCTGAAGGGCTGGCCCAAATGCCAAAGCAATGTCCACGAAGGTGACAATGTACGTATGCACTGTAGAACGATCTGATTGCCCAAGCCAAGGGCCTGTCCTCATGTGAGAAACACCACCACATCCGCAGAAACCCAAACAGTTGTCGTCATCAGAACCCGGCCCAAACTCAAAGAACATGTTGAAATACAGTCTTGCTTGGCAATCAGCTTGTTCACCTCCTCCCCGTGTTGCGAAAGACACGTGGAGGATTCCCTTCACCACCAAGCGGTTCGGACCTCCGAGGCCGTGATCAGGATCCGGTCCCGCAGCCAGGGTCCACTGCCGTCGTCGATGTGAAAGTCCCCCAGGCGACGCACGGCGGCCACGTGGACCTGCGCCAGCGGGTCCAAGGCGCGGGAAGTCTCCGGAGGGGGCGGCGGATGGAGGGCACCTGCCGGAGGGGGGGCGGAAAACCAGCAATGAGACAAATAGAAAGGTTAGACTCTGAGATCTCATTGTGCCACAGGATGAAGTGTTTACTGAATATTGAAGGGAAAATCTCAATCTCCTGGTGCACATTTTATAGTACAAAGTAGGGTCTTGGAACGTTGGCTGGAGCCCCACGTTGGGCATGCGTACGCATCGAAGAACTTTCCATTCTTCCTGCCTGGGTCAAGGTGAAGCGGAGCGCACACATCACATCCCCTCGCGATTCCAGCCCCACAATCGTCCTACTCGTCAAGCCACAAATCTCTACTCTGTACCCGCCTCCTGCCCCACGAGGGCCCACTGGCCTCAGGAACTTAGCACAACATTGCAATCTTTGACAAGGTCTCCAGCAAACCAACATGCAGCTGAGGTAAACATTCAAGGCACCTACCAATCTGTTGGCCCCACCTATACGCACGAACCCCCTGTCATCTTGTAGAGGAGAGCAAGCATTCCAAAAAGATGTGGGTAAGGCATGATAAAGGGAGCCTCTGCTCAATCCTTGCCTTCCAAACCTCGGGTGTGGCCACAGCATTTCGGGGTGAAAAGGGGAGGAAGTTCCCCGTGGATTCCTGTGGTATTGGGATGCAAGGGACTCGAAAAGATCACCTGCTTCAGCCCGAGAAGCGCAAGACCTCCTCATGCAAAAAGGTGACCTTCCCGCGGACCGTGGGGCGTGCAATGACCTGAGACTTGCAGGTCCTGTCCATCATCCGCCCCCATCGAGGATGTGAGTCGATGATGTGGAAAACGGTCTGATCAAAGAAGGCCGTTCTTCCGGGTGCATGTTCGACATCAGAAGAACATCAACACGACACCACCCCGGCCCTGACAGAACTATAATCAGAACTGACCAAGACTGTTTCAACCGATGAAACTCTGGTGAAAGTGAAAGTGACTTAGACGGACCATCTATATAACAGTCTAACATCTACAGCTGCACAGAACTGACCAGTCGCTGAAAGTCTGAATTGATTTGTTTCAGCTGAGATTTGTTTGAGCAGCTGACCATGATCTCCATCAGCCCGTGGCGAGGCCGCCCCTCGCGATCCTTGTGATGTCCAGGCACACCTGATGCACAGCCAGCTGGCGGCGACGATCAGCTCGATCTACCAGTATGGGTCTGGCCGGCCAAGGGCTACCGGCCAAGGCATCCTACTTGAGGCCATAAGCAGGAATGGGTTCTGACCCGTCCCCTATGAATCACCCTGGATCCCCTGTGAATCACCCTGGGTCCCCTATGAATCACCCTGGAGATAATAGAATTTGGACCTTGAACACGAACATCCCCAAACATTTGGGCTTGTGCGTGTACGGGTATATGCATATATACCATCCATCTCTCCTTTCAATTGAATTGTCCCAGTGGTTTTGGGATGGTCCCGTCTTTGTTCCACTCCTTCCGCAGACTTCGACACCGTCGCAGCATGTCGCAGCCTCCGATGGCCGGCAGCCAAGCACCACCGTCGCTGCGTCTGAGCGCCAGCAGCATGGAGCCCTGCGCGTCCAGCGGCGTTTGGGGCTCCAAGACGGTCAGGCGCAAGGAGGCACCTGCAGAGATGGTAGAGGGAACACTCAAAAGACAATTAAATAAATTGGTCACCATTGAACGCTATAGGAACCTTGGTGCGAACCTTGGACTGGTTGATCTACTCATGGATCTTCCCATGACTTCTAAATTACCTATCATGAATATGATTATAACAAATTATATCCTATAAAGTCCTATTCAAAAGGCTCCTCTGCGCTTTTTTGGAGCGCATTGGACGTTTCGGTGCTTTTCGGACGCGTCATGCTCTCTGCCAGGTGCTGTCGCCAAGGTCTCTCGGTCCCAACCGGTCTAAGACCGTCTCCACGAACGAAAAGCGACCGAAAAGGAGCGGTGGGAGGAAAACGGAAGACCCTTCCACCCTTCCATCTGTTGACTCCGAGTCAGCAACCCCCTTCGAAGGCCGCTTGGATGCTCCACTACCGATGGCACTACGCCCGACTACGCTGCCATCGTCGATTGGGGCACCGAAGAGTCGGTGGTTTCCGTCGCGGCCGTCTGGGTTGGTCGTTCTCAACAGCCTCCCGTCACTGACCACATCTGGTTTGATCGTCGGCAGCTGGGTCACCCACGCACCTCCCACATCTGCCGTGGAGGGCGTGGAGTAGCCAGTGACTTTGGCCCGTTGGATGGATCTGGCCTGTAAGGACTGCTTGGGCGTGAAGGAAGCGGAAAAACCACCTCTGGTCCCGTTCACCCTATGGCCCAGACCTTTGAGTTCGGCCCTCCAGGTCGATGTTCACCCTGGATTTCTATCTCTAAAGTGTGGTTTGGATCTGTTTGTGCACGGTTCCAGTCACAACTCCATCCTTCTTAGTTGATGAAACCACGTCCTTTCCGATGGGAACCACGCCGGTATGGATGAGGGGCGGGCAACTCCCTGGCCAGATCTCGCAGCTGCAAGGCCACACGGAGCGGCCACCTGAGCCGGCGCCAGGTGCACCAAAGTGCACCAAAGGCTTTTTCCTTGCATTCAAGGGTCCAAAATGATCCAAGCGTCCAAAACCAAGTGTGTGTGTGTGTATATATACAATATATATGGTAGATAGTGGATGTTGAAGAATATGCTTTTTCATGTAGACTGTTGTTGATTGATGGAACCCCCCTTCTCCCCTTCTCCAGGATGGTTATTGCAGGTCAAAGCATCTTCAGGCGCCACAATAGATAAAAGACGGATTCATCGACCATCCACATGATAGAAGCAAATTATGGTACCTGCAAATGTGGATCAATTAGGTGAGAAATGGTGAGAACCTGCTGACCCACCTCACTGCGATCTGGGTCAACAGCCAGGTCAACATCGCCTTCCAAAACCCCTTCCAACCTCCAAACCCCGTGCAGGAGAAACCCACCGAGACGCTCCAAAGGCATCTGAAACGAGGGCGTCGTCGCACTCACCAGCACCGACTCGGCGCGAAGACCCGACGCCGTGGCCTGCGAAGACCCGCGAGAGCACGTGACTGAAGCCACGCGATGGTCGGTCCGATGGGCTTTGCAATGAGGTGGACTTCGCGGTCCAATCAATTTGGGCACTGGAATGGGGATCAGTAGATCCATGTAGATACGCTGTTTTTGATGGACGTTCAGTGTGCCAACTCACCTCTTTTGGACCCCAAAAAGGTGGAGCTAGTGGCAGATAGCTGCACGCCTCAGTCCAGTTGAAGATTCCCGCAAACGACGGTCCTTCATGCCAGGTTTGTAACTGCAGACTCTATCTTGAGGCCATGACATGACTGAGTCATGGGAGTAGTTTGGACAAAAAATCTGCCTCTTTCCTGCGACCCACTAAAAAGGACCAAAACCTTGGGTGTGTCCTAGTCCCTGTAACAGTGGATGATGGTTAGTGAAGGCCTTCCTCTAAAATATATAATTGTTCACTGACTGTTACAGCTCATAGGACACCCCCAACCAAAAACCTTAGAGACCAAGCCCAAAGAACTCCATTGAAACTGCTGGAGCTTTGCGTCCCGACCTTCGCTTCCCCCGCTGGGCCGTGCGCGGACGTCGGCACCAGCCACGCCGAGCAGCCGCAGCACGGCATGGCCAAGCACGGCGCAGTCCAGGGAAGGCCTTCTGTAGGTATACGGATAGTGGTTTTTGGGGTACAGGCCCCGCAATAGGTCGATGAT